ACGGAAGAAGAGGAAATCCTTCGCATGCTAATCTTCTTCTTACCTCGGATGAATGATGTCATTGATGCCAACTCGCAGGCTATATCGGATATTTCCGCGAGCCAGGCATGACCAGTTGGCGGTAAGCGCTAAAAACCAGGGTTCTTCGCTACGATTTTCCACGAATGAGACCCAGCGCTTTGCGATTAACTTTTGCTTCACCTATTTCTTGCCCTGGCACCTTCAGCCAACCGAGGGACTTACTAAGAATAACGACAACGAAAATCTCGAAGACGAGTCGATCACTTTTTTGAAGGAAGACCTTCTATAGGCGTACCTCACCCATGCACGAGGCGCGCCTAAAATCGAAGCAGCCAACGTCCAACTCGAGGCCACCAAGCAATATGCCCTCACCATGGACATATTCCGCTGCTCTGAGGACATATAATTATCGAAGATTAGTGGCATCAACCAAATAGAGCTCCATACAAGAAACACATCGCCGCACCATACTCCTAAATAAATTACATCGATAAATATAATTTAAATATTTTCATCCCCAGAATCCTATTTCGACACACTCCTTCTACTTATTATAACCATCATTACAATAAGACTTTACCGAGCCACATGCTACTCTAAAAATCCAATCCCCATTCAATTCTTTAATATATTTTTCATTTCGTTTATATTATTATCAATTTAAAAATCCAAATCGATATCCAATCACTAAATAATCCATGAAAAACATATCGTCCATAAAAAAGACTCATAATATGCAAAAAAAAGTTTAACGACGATATCGAACAAAACCCAATAATCACATATTTCATTTAAATTATCCAAGAAACGAAATTCGATAAAACCAGAATCTTATATTCATTTATATAAATAGAAAAAATCCTTATTGTAAAGAAATAAAAAATATCCGCAGACCCCCTGCCTAACTAACGCCCAGGCGGGGCGGTGCCTAGGACACCGCAGGGGGAAACAATTGCTCAGACCAAACAAATCCAGAGCGTTTCGCGATGGCTCCGCTACCTTTCGAGGGTGCCGTTTCTAGAGGTGGCCGTCGGTTGCATTCTGCCTTAGATACATACCTTTAACTCAGCTGCCGGGATTCCGAAAGCAATGCATCAAGCGACGTCAGGCATTTTCGTTGGCTACGTCCCCGCCCCCCCGTTCCGACCGTTATTGTGGGCAAAAATACATGGTATCGTTTGCCGCCCGGAAACCCTCCGTTACGATTGCATTCTACCTATATGCATACCTCAGCCTTAGGATAAGCGCAAGGAATCGGAACGATTTAATTTCGAAATATCCATTTCGTAGCAAATGCAATACCTTAAGTACGATATATTTTTAAACGACAACCAATCAGCATAAATACGGCCCGCGCAAAAAAAAAGAACCCGATTACGTAAAGGCAATAGTTATTCGAATAAAAAAAAAAAATTAGAATATTTGTTTCTACTAACCGTCTATCGTAAAATTGCTCCCCTTTTTATTTTATATTTTTTCAAATCAATATGCATTATTCAAATAAAACCTAATTCAATTAAAAATTCGGATTAACAAATCATTAATATAAATCGATTAATCCATATAAACATTTCTTCCCATCAAATTACAATATTTACCAAAATAATTAAAATTCATAATCGTTTACTAAAATATATTAAATACCGATTATTAAAAAAACATAAAACATAAAATAAATATGCCCGGCATCTTTTATATAATATAAATTCTATTCAAATTTTTAACATTCTCCGTCCAAAACATAAAAAATATCATAATCTTAAAAAACTAATTTAAACATTACGAAAGAAAATAAAAACAAAAAACACCACAATTTAAAACCTCCTCAGAGCTCAATACCTATATATTAAATTTTTAAAACTCTACCAAACAATATATAATCGTTTTTTTCTTCATTATTATCAATATAATAATTATTCATACGTATTAATACCAATTAATAAATTATTCATACTTATTCAAATAAATATCCTTCTATCGACACAAAAAACGCCTCTCCTTCAAGATATCCATCCCAAAAAAAAAATCGGCAATACCAAGGCGGAACCCTTACAATAATTCTATTGTAATTACGAAACCATAATGCCATATTATTCGAATTAACTAAATCTCCTTAAAATATAAAATATAAAAAAACTAAAATGACAAGATTAATAACGATTATTAAATCATATTTTATAAATATATATATCCGATTAATCGAAATAAATTCCATAAGCCAAATCTATCTAAATCATAAACGAAACATCTCCTAATCCGGACAAACTATCATTCCATTCCAATTTTCTTTAAACGAGATTCGGCGTTTCCATATCACGACAATATACTAAATTTAACGTTAACTCAAGAAAAGCGCAACTCCGACCTATATAAACTACAAAATCAATCAATTCAATCAATTCCTAACAATTAATCTTTTACAACCGAACGTCGATTAATGACCTGCAAAGCACTCATTACAATTCGAACAATGAACATAGAATCATCCTATTAAACACACAAAACAGGGCGAGGGTGAATCTCTAAAAAAGAACGATACAAACACATATTGATAGAAATATCAATACTCAACAAAAAGAATACGTTGACACGTTAGAAAGCATTCCCATTTCCAAAGAAGAAGAAAAGAACAACTCCTATGGATATTATGGTGAAGTCCGGTCCTCGAACCCTTAATTGAGTTTAGCAAGATTGAGGCAATGAACGCAAACTACAAGTGGACATCGAGAATTCCAATTACTATCAGTGTGGATTCTTGACCAGTGTTCGACCATCTAGATGGGCAGCTCATGACAATGGAGGACAAAAGGGACATCGCAAAGGATGAAGTCTCCATTAGATGGCAACTGACCATATGTTGGTTAAATGTATGCATGGACCTCCTACGAAAGGTGATGATATACTGCAAAATGAAGTTAAAGGAGGATCTAATAGTCCTACGTGGTTGGTGTGTGTTTGGTTTGTTTGATGAAAAAAGGTCAAAGATCCAAAGGTGACAGGAATCAAAGAGGGATTGTATCCCGGCACGGGCCCCCCCTTCAGCTATTGATAAAACGACCGCAGTGCCATGGCATCATGACCACTGACAGATGAAACCTCGTTGGGTCTGTCAGATAGTCCTTTTTAATCTCCTTCTTTCTGTCGAAAGAAAAAAATAACTAAACATGCTTGTCCTTGCTGTTGCCATGATCCTTTGGATGGCAATCATCCACTAACGATTGGAACTTCATGTTATGAAAAGGACCTAGTTGTGAAAAGGACCTAGGAGGACATTTTGCTACGCAAAACACAAAGCAAAGCTTGAAGTAAGAAGAAGCTATTAGTAACAAGTGCATCGCTAGTAGTAACAAGGGCCTTACTAGTAGTAACAAGGACGCTACTAGGAACAAGTGCATCGCTACTAGTAACAAGTGCCTTACTAGTAATTTAATTCTAATTTAGTTTAACTATAATTTGTTACTACTAGTAAGGCACCTTGTTACTACTAGCGATGCACCTTGTTACTAGAAAGCTTGAAGTTCCAAACTTCGGCGCACGGAGGCCCGTGCACACTTTAGCGGGTCATTTCACGTTCACCACGTGAGCGCCACCACGGCCTGGGCAGAAACTTGCAGGTTTCTAAGCTTGAACGAGGACGCTACTAGGTTTCTAATTTGAACAGGGAGCCTGTGCTCCTTGAAGAGCTGGCCGAAGGGCTGTGCCTGGAATGCTTGATGAAACCAACCACTTTAACCAACTTGATTCCACACGCGCCTGAACTTTCGGTGAAACTCCTGGAAGGTGAAATATTTGAAGTTCAAACTTCATGCAGAAATCTACAGGAGAGAGAGAAAGAAAGAAAGAAAGAAAGAAAGAAAGAAAGATAGAAAGAAAGAAAGAAAGCAATGGCCTCACATGCTTTGTGCTTTTTTATGCATCCCGTTTCTCCTCGATGCTGTCCGGTTGGGGTTCCGCCTTCGCGGTCTCCCGAAGATCTGGGAGCAGCACACGGCCGCTTGGGGTCCTATCGTAAGCGTGAAACTTCTTCCTCGGTGCTTTGCTTTATTTATGGTTTTCACTTTTCTTCGCTTTGCGTTTTGCCTTTTTCTTTGACTTTATCTTGCTTCGTCCTGCCTTGGAACAAAAAGAGCTGGATTGGACTCTGCCTTCCTCGGACGTGGGTCACAGTACTCTGTTGTTGGAGTTCTTCTGCTCCCTCTGCCGAGGTTCGACAGTGCCTGGTTGGAATTGGCCACCTTTGATAACTTCCCATGTGGGCTCGATGGCGGCTTAGCGCTGCAAATCGCATAAATTGCACCTGGCGAAAAGTCGACAAGGCACTTTGGAAAAGGAATTGCACATGATTCATTCCCGCTATTAGTTAAGCTTCTCTAAAAATCTAGGAACCAAATGAATAGTGTGAGCGCTTCTTCAACGAAATTTTCCCCGCCGCCTTTAGCGGGCGGGGAGCTTCCTTGAAGAAGCGTGAGCTATCCTGCGTCCTAGCTACTAGCGACCTACCTCCCTTCCTTAATTAAGTAGGGAGGGGGAGCGGGCAAAAACGAAAGTAAAACAAAGGAAAAAGAAATGAAAGACCTCGCCTCCTACGAGTAAACCGATGCAAGCAAGAATGCCAGTAATGGTCAATAGGATGATCCTGAGCCAATTTTTGAAACGCTTTTGCTTAGCAAGTGATGCATGACTCACTTCCAAACGCTCTGGTGTGAATATGCACTGTCCAAGCATTGGCGAGGCAATTCCAAAAACATCTTGAAAGTGCATGCGCTGCAAGCACTGAGCTGGGACAAGTCTCACTCCGTCTAAGCCTCCTTCTCCATCCGGCATCTCTAATCCTCCTCCGTTTTGGAGGCCAGAGGCGGCCACTGAAGAGGTGGAAGTGGGTGACCTCTGTGCATCCATACGAACGGAGCGATCGGACGCTACGAGGTAGGGGCTCCTGGCCGCTCTCATGGAGCATCTTCCAGTCTGAGGAACTCAAGTCAGCTTTTCATTCTTTCAATCTCTTTGCATCTCAGCAGCGGCGAAGGGACAGGAGACCACTGTTCGCCATCTTGCAGGGGGATGGAACCCACGAAGTCCACTGGCAAGGGCACACCTCGTCGAAGCCAAAGAAGGTGAAGAGTTCACGTCTCATGTTCTTTCAGAAACAATTGAGGGGCAACGAACTAGGTTGGAGGCCATCGCTATTGGGGCAATGAATGGCAACAGCAACTTAGAAAAGCAATTCATGTCGCACCTCGTTGAGCGAGCTCCACCGATAGTTGCTCCTCAAAAATCTCTGGGCTTGTCAGAAAGAGCATTTTCTTTTCTTTGTGAAATACGCGGAATACTCACTGTGTTAATCACGGATCAACCATCAGCCTTCAAAGGTCCAAAACCCTTCTTCAACAGCGACCCTCCTGGAAGTTGCTGCTCACGCTGCTTTCTCCCAAGCCCAACTGTCCGACACGCTGAAGAAGGGCTTTGTTCTGCACCTGGAAACATAACTTGTTGATACTCAAGCTTCCCTAAAAATCTAAACCAAACCATCAGTGCGAGCGCTTCTTCAACGAAGCTCCCCCCGGCCATCAGGCAGGCGGGAGCTTCCTCGAAGAAGCGTGAGCGAACTCTCCTAGTAGTAACAAAGAAACCAACAAAAACGTCTGTCAGCTCCGAAACTCATCCAGAAACATCCTCAAACACCTCAAATCACTGAATTGACTTGATCCATTGTCCATCCCCACCGCGTTGTAAGCTTCCACAGTGAAACGCACTCTCACCAACCAGCGCTCTGCAAGACGTCGTCCACTGCCGCCTGCAAATCGCTGTGACCTTCAACCTCTTCAAGTCGCCTCAAATACCAAATCGCTACAACCTACTAGCAATGACCTCCACCCTACTAGCAATGGCCTCCAACCTCTTATGTCTGTGACTTCTTAGCAAGCACCAAATTTGCTGTCATGTGGAAGAGGCTTGGCAACAATGGCCAAAGCGCACCGAACGCTTTGCGGTCCTTCCAAGTAGATCTCAGTGCCCTCGATGGTCAACTTGTCCAGCGGTCCAAGCCTTACATCGGAAACCACTGAGAAACCGCCAGGCAGACCTTTAGAGGACAAAATACGAAAACGACAACAAAAAACTCTTCAAACGACTTGAGCACTTGCAACCGGCCAAGATTCTCCAAAGATGATCGGAGTGCAGATTTAAGTGCATTCATTGCTGCTGGTAGAACAAGCTCCTCAATGTTCGTATCACAAAGCATTGGAAACAACTCTTTCTTGGAGCAACACAATGAGACCTATCCGAACAAAAAGGAAGGACAAGGCCATCGAAAGGCCGTTGCAAGCGAATTCATGCCTAAGGCCTTTAGACATGTTGGACCATGAAAAATCATCTAGAATCTGAATGATGTTTCCTTCGTTGGTGGACCGAATTTAAGTCATTCTTGTTCCAGGCATCTTCAGCATCTTCTCTTGAAGACGTACTCAATGTCATCTCGGTTCGCAATGGACCAGCAGGGACGTAGTTCTCCAGCCAAGGTGGCAATGTTGCCAGTGGTTCAATCGTTGTTGTGGTCGTTGTGGTGGGCTCTTCGGTAGTTCTTGGTTCCCAAGTCCTATCCGTTGTGGTAAATGCGGGCGGCTGCATACTCGTAGAGGCAGCAGCAGTTGTGCGGACTGTAGGTGCTCTGGTGTAGTACCTCGATCAGGGAAATTGTGGTGACTAGATCTGCTCAAAAAGCGATCGCGATTGTCACCAAGACACTCGACTGATTGAGTAGTGCGCGGTTGTGTTGGTGGCTGAGTGACTGGTGCTGGCCTCAGAGTTTCCCCTTCGTCTGTTCCGATCGATTTTTAAGCTCTTCCGCTGCTTTAGTTTCTCTTCGAAATCTTGTTTGCTTTAGTTTCCAAAAAGATCTAGGTCTGCAAGCTTACCTAAGCTACCAGTACTAGCTGCATTACTAGCTACCTCTTCCTCTATCCGCGGCCTACCCCCCCGGGTTTAAAAAGGGTTTTCCAATGTTACTACTAGTAAGGCACTTGTTCCTAGTAGCGTGGCACTTGTTCCTACTAGGAAGGCACTTGTTCCTAGTAGCGTGGCACTTGTTCCTACTAGGAAGGCACTTGTTCCTAGTAGCGTGGCACTTGTTCCTACTAGTAAGGCACTTGTTCCTAGTAGCGTGGCACTTGTTCCTACTAGTAAGGCACTTGTTCCTAGTAGCGTGGCACTTGTTCCTCCTTGTCGCTTCGTCTCGGGTCAAGACGTTTGTGGTCTCTGTGAGGTCGACTGCGTGCTTGGCGGAGCTGGTGTAGTTCGTTCTGGGATCGACAAGGTGAACTCTTGCTGTGCCTGAATCGAAGCAAACCATCCACGTGATTCGATGGGCTGAGTCTTGCAACATGCCGGTTGAAACCAAGGACATCGCCTCATTGCCCCAAGGGTCGGTAACAAAGCACACCAATGTGTAGTCCTCACCCGGCTGCAACATGCCGAAACCTCAGTTCGGTTTCACTCAAAATCTAGGATATCTAGGAACCAAATGATGAGTGTGAGCGCTTCTTCAAGGAAGCTTCAAGAAGCATGAGCTATCCTGCGTTCAGTAGCAAGTAGCGAACTAGTAGCTATTCGCTTCTACCTCTCCCTTACTTAATTAAGTAGGGAGAGGGGGGGAGGCGGCCTAAAAAAGGTTTTTCTGTTTCTCTCTGTTTCTCTGCGAGGTGCTGAGGTGCACCGGATACTCATTGGACCAGGCTTGCTCATCACAGCGGGGATAGAGACAGGTGCCTCCATAGGTCAGCCAACTCAAGTCCTGAACGAAACATCGGAAAAGACAAGAAACCATTTTTGTATATCATTTTTGAACATATTTCTATGTCAATATATTTTCCAAAACAAATACAGCAAAATAAACAACCTCTTTTAGTTCACTCCTTTTTCTTTATAAACCTTTTCGTTTATGTTCTTTCTCAGGAATCACTGTGCGAAGCTCATCAGTAGCTTGCGTCTGTGATTCAAGCAGAACACCAACTTGCATCAATATGGATTCGGAACACAAGAAGAATTCAACATGGTCAAGGATGTTCCTTTTGGTCAGTGTTGAAGGCAAGTGTCAGAATTTTTCTAGAAAACAAGACAATTATTCAAAACAAGAACACATTTCAACACATGCTTTCTATGTCTTCTTCTTTCTGTCACATCCCCAAGCATCATCCAGGCAACTCTAGCTGGCTTGAGCGAGATATCATGGCCGGCAAAGAAAGGGGGTCTTTACGGTCTTTAGGTCTTTTCTTCAAACATGTCAGATCTTGTTCTGCATGTGGGTTGGAGGCCTTCGCTACTAGGTCAGAGGCCTGTACCAAATTCTTCACCGATGCGTCCCGTCGTCCCCGTCGTCTTCCGTCCTGCTCCAACACTCGACACAGCACCCGACACTCGGTGCCGCTGCCAGCGACTCGGAAGTTGCAGCTCCCGTCCCGCAGCTCCATGCGGAAGGACACCCTTTCGGTGTTCCCGGTGAAGAAGCCTAACAAGGTTCGCTACGGGAGCAAAGGGCATCGCTACTAGCCAAGCACAGAGTGCTTTATCCTTTTCTCCAAGGCTAAACAAAGGTTGCTACATGGCTCATTGGCCGTTGATGTCCTTTTTGTGAATGCTGGGTGTGGCGTGCCAGCCTTCTGTGGTGGTCTGCACATCCACTAAGAGTGCCTGCACAACGCCTCAGTTAAGACATGAGCATGAACAAACATCGAAAATTCATGTACCATGTGTACTGCAAATTACCACGTGAGGGACAACAGATTTTAAGGTGCGCAGCATTAGCATCGGATGGGTGTCAACAAGAGCTATTCATCTACCTTCACTCTGATGGAACTGGAGAATCGGATGGCACAAACTTGCATGGTTCAATGTTTTGCACAAAATGTGACAGGTCTTCTTAATGATTTTGCTCCCAAACGACTCGATGTGAGACCATAAAAACTCCAGCCTTCTCCCTAACTAAAGGCACTTGAGAAACAACTCACGAAAGCGGTTTCAGCCAAGCCACGAGGAATCACACGATCCGATGTGGCTACTTCCTCCTGAAGCGTAAGAAACACACCAGCGTACCTGCAGAGTTTCTTTCACACTGCTAATAGCAATGGCCTTGCTCCTAGTATTGTCCTTGCTCCTAGCAGTAAGGCCAGGAGCCCCTAGTAGCGTCCTTGCTCCTAAAAGAGCTCTCTCCAAAAAGCAAGCACTTCTCTTTTGCGCTCCTCGCATGGCATAATCTCTCGCACCCAGCCAGTGCACCTCAAGGTTTCGTTGTTCTCCTGGCAAGAAATTCGATTCCGGAGTTCGGATTGGCTTCCAAAGAAACGAAAGGAAGAGAAACGAAGGAAGATTGAACGGTCCAAAAGGGAGAAGCAAACAAGACAAGAAAGAAAGAAGGAAACAACAAAAGAACAGTAGTAGTGATGACCTCCCACCTAATAGCGATGGCCTCCAACCTAATGCCCAAGATACGTCCAAAATGAAAGGACAGGTCAGTAGCCGTAGCGTTCAGCGTTCTTTCTGAATACACAATGCCTCAGTGGCCTGAAGGCGACGAACGCCCGGATAGTCAACAGGAGTGGTGATAACATTCTCTCCTGAGCAAAGAGCCAAGCAAGTTGGTTCTTAAAAGAAGTAATACAAAAAAAAAATATAAAAGGAAGTAAGGCAAAAAAAACCTAGACAGAATACATGTCGAAGAAGGAATTTCTTTGCAGATGACCGAAGCAAAGACGACCCACAGACCGTGGAACATCGCTACTAGGAGCAAGGGCATCCCTACTAGGGGCTCCTGGCCTTACTACTAGTAACAAGAAGCTATTAGACACAAGAAATAGATAAATAGAAATTAAGTTTGATTAGAAACTGATTAGAATTGAAACAAGAAGCTACTAGGACCTTTTCGCGCGCGGGGGAGGTAGGAGCAAGGGCATCGCTACTAGTAACAAGAAGCTATTGGTGCTCTTGGCCTTCCGTGGCACTCCGAAGGCAACGGCCAGATCGGATCGCTAGTAGCATCTAGCTATGCCCTTGTTTCTAGTAGCGATGCCAGGAGCCCCTAGTAGCTTCTTGTTACTAGTAGTAAGGCACTTGTTACCAGTAGCGATGCACTTGTTCCTAGTAGCTTCTTGTTAGTAATAATGGCCTCCAACCTACTAGCGATGGCCTCCAACCTAGAAGCGTTTTGTAATTGTCGACTTGTTGTGCTTCTTACCAGTCTCTTCATCTGCCCATACAATCTCCATTTCATCTCTGACTCTGAGGCTCTTGTGTCTGCCCAAGGCAATGGCAGCACCACCATGCTCTGCATGATATCGTTGCCGATGGCGTCGGTCGCCCAGCACAGGACATCGTAGCTGCTATTCTCTCGTAAACTGGCAGCGCGCGGAGGAGTTTGTTCTGTTCGTTTGCTTTCTTTCATTTCCGTTCTTTTTGTCATTACCTTTCTTCCTTTCTCTTGAGACTTTTCGACCTGCCTCTGTCCTTTTTTCCAATCTTTTTTTGCTTTTTATGTTGGATTTTCTTCTCTTCGGTTGCTTTCGACCAGCCTCGGGATGGTGACATTGCGGGACTCTGCTTGGCTAAAATTCGTGTGGAACGGCAACGCAAAGAGCCGCTGCCACCAACTCCTTTCACCGGTGAAACTGAGCGGTAAAACCGTGACAGTTTCGGGAGTGACTCTAGGTGTAGAGACGACCACACTGCTTCGAGTCGCATTGACGGAGGCGGTACCTTTTTCCAAACCACATCATTAGTGTGCGTCCATGTGTAGCTAACTTGGGCCAGTAGCTTACTTCTTCCTTACTTATTTAAGCAGGCGCCTACTTAATTAAGTAGAGAGTGGGGGGAGCGAGCTAAAAAAAACAAAATCATTTCCATTCTTTTCCTTTTCTCAACACTCGTCTTGAGCGCTTCATGTGTGCTTCCCTGCCCCAGTCCAGCGTGCAAATTGCACGTGCTGATAGACCGATGCATCTGCCCAAGCATCCCATGCCTTCATCCACGTGACGTTGTCCTCGTGATTTTCTCTTGTCTCTTCGAGTCTCTTCTTCTCCTTTTTCCTTTCTTTCTTTTGTTTGAATCTTTCTTTTTCCTTCCTTTCTTGCTTCCTTTTTATTGCGTGATACGTGGACAATCTCACCCGACAACCGCCACATTCCAAAAATGGTCAACAATCTTTAAGACAGTGAGGATTCGTTGCACAACTGCATGTAGAACGGCAAGGACAAATGGATGAGTAACAAGGGCATTACTACTAATAGCTTCTTAGTAAGATCTAGTAAGGCACCTTATAGTAACAAGAACCCCATTGGGATCCGGATCCATCCCTGAACTCAGCTGCGCATCGTCCGAGAACTCAATGGAGATGTTGTTGGCACCGCAGACTGCGCCCACAGATTCGTTCCCAGAAGCACCATAGTCGAAGGAGACCTCTCAGTCTGTCGTGTAACGTCACTTGAAGCCACAAGAGTTTACTCAGATTTTGAAAGACATTAAATTTTTTTAAAGCCCTTCATGAAAAAGCAACTTCGTCATCGAACGTCGTTGCCGAAGGTCGCGCGGTCGCACCTGAGTCACCGTGGGCAAAGGCTCTGTGAAGAGCTCCACCTCGCAAAGCCGCAGCCGGCCATACTTGGCCACCACCCAAACCTCACGCTGTCGCAGAAACTGGTGAAAGGTCGGCCGTAGAAAAAGGAAGTCGCGATGCAATTGCTCCGTTCAGGGTCCGATGCCCTTTGTTCCGTTCGCAGCGTCCTCAATCTGAAGGAATGATTTCGGAAGTGTGTCGCGTCGGTTCTGGTAGCGGCCCTTGCCACTAGCTGGGCTTGTCACGAATTCCGAAGGTGGTTTTGGGCCGTTGAAGCCACAAAAAGCAAAACTTAGGCCTACCCTCCCTGGCCCACGAACAACGAGCAAAAACCAATTCCCGCTGAGTGTCTGTGCTGCCTCGACTCTCCTTCAGAAATGTCGAGAAATCAAGAAATGGCCACACAAGAAATGAACAAAAGAAACAGATTGAATCAAGGAAGCTTGCTCTTAGTGTTTTAGTTCAGAGAGAAACATAGATTTCAATCCGCTCCTGCATACAGGCTCTGGTGGCTGGCACTTGAAACGGATCCTCACATGCGACTCAAGTCGGGAAGGTTTGACGTCGCCCTTGAGGATGAGAGAAACAGAACGTCTAACGAAAAGGCAAGGACAAGGAAGGAAAAAACAAGTCTATTGAAAAGAAAAGAACAAGGAAAGAAAAGAAAGATCTAGAATCTAAAGGTCTAACGACAAAAAGAAAAAAAGGGAGGAGCAGTCTGAAAAGAAACAGAAGCTATAGCAGCGAGTCAAATGTTGCTTTCTTTCGCCGAAAGAAAGTCGTGCCTCCTGATGCTAAAGAGAAGTCGAAGACAAGAACATAATGTGGTGGACGAACAAGGGCATCGCTACTAGTAACAAGGGCATTACTACTAGCAAGTAGCAAGAAGCTACTAGTAGCGATGGTCTTTGTTACTAGTAGCTTCTTGTTCCTAGTAGTAATGCCAGGAGCTACTAGTAGCATTCTTGCTACTAGCCCTTTCTTTAGTGGCCTTCCTGGGGTCCAAACACGTCCATTCATGTAAGAAGAACATGACTTCTCAGTTTTTGAACGCAAAGTTCTTCGAATGCTTCGAAATCGCTTCTCCTCCAGAACTCCGATGGGCACATCTTCAGCACACAAGGTCCCTTGCTGCAAAATCGTGCTCAAGGGCACATGGAGCGTCGCTTCGTAGAAGCATGGGCGAATCTGGCGTCTCAAGAGCTTTCCAAAGAGCCACAGCTTTGGTTCTTAAGACTAACAGAGTAAACTTACGCATCTTTTTTACAAAAAGAGTTAAGTTTTCCTAACCATCTAGGAACCAAATGAATAGCGTGAGCTGTCCTGCGTCCAGTTACTAGTAAGCCTAGTAAGCATCGCCCTTAATTGATTAAGTGGCCCCCCACTCAGCTCAGAAAGAGCAGGCTATAAAAAAGGAGAAAAAGGACTCCACCTTCTGGTTCAAAGGGCCTTTGACCTGGAATGTCAGGGTAACATCGGACAGTCCAAAAGGCCTAAAGTTAAGGGAAGAAAAACACATGTGTCATGTGCCTTTTCTTAAGAAGACTTTCTTTCCTTTCTTTCATCTTCGTCTTCTTCTTTATCTTTACTCCGTTTTTCCGTCCTTTCAAGGCCAAACGCTTGTAATTCGCATCGAGTGAAGACGGTGCCTCTCGGACTGTGACCTCTAAGGCTCCATTGTCGCTCCGGATCACGGTGTTCAGCACGCCATGCCGATGGCCAGAAGCTTTTGAACAAGTAACGCCATTCTCCTCAGCTTGGGCGTTGGAGGCCGCTAGGTTCGGTGAGCGACACCTAGTAGCAAGGTGCCACAAAAGCCCAGGTAAGCTTCATATAAACTGTGTCATTGTTCTGGTGGACAGTTTCACTAAACACCCCTCACCCCGCCATGGACGAACGCCAATGTGGAGACCTTTTTTGACATTTGTTTCGTTCTATTTTCTTCATTCTTGTTGAGTTTCTTTCAACTGTGGAGACATGCACACATTTCTTCCAACGAAGTGTGCTTTCCAGGATGTGCAACACTCCAGTGTCATGAGGAGACTTGAAGCATGAAAATTAATGCTTCAGCAATCTGGCATCAATACATGCGTCATGTGCATGTATTAACACACACAAGACAAGGTTCTAGAGTTGGCACGCTACTAGGGGCTCCTGGCCCCACTACTAGGAGCAAATAGGCTCTACTAGTAGCAAAGGGCATCACTACTAGGAGCAAGGATGCTACGAATGGAACACATGAGTTGGCACCCCAGCTGCACCACGCATTTCTGAAAGGACACACCAAGCGGAGGAACTTGAACGGTTTAAGCTTTCACCAGTCGAGCATCAAAGCTTTGCTCATTTTGTGCTGTCGATGTATAGCCTTGGGTTGGTTGCCCGGAGCACGACAACCCACGGGCAAAGAAACAAACACGAAACGATCCTGGAACCCAAATGTCCACAACTGCAACCTGTAGAGCAAGCTAAACAAAGGTTCTGACACCTGTCCAAGCAGCTACCAATGAGGAAGTAATTTGATGCAGTATTGCTTGGGAAACCCAATGCATCGCAGGCGTGTACTGAGGATTGCTGATCTTCCTGCCCATTCTAGGAACCGTTTCTTGATTCCCTCTTCTCTCTCTCTCTCTTGCGCCAAAAGCGCACCTTCGAACATTCTCAAACCTTTCGTGCCAAGCATGCTTCTTGAAGTAAAGCCCTTTACAGGACAGTTTCTTTCTGCAATGTATATACGCTAAATGTACAAACTTGGGTCCAATCTATCTGTCCTCAATTTGCTGGCCAATGGTGACCCTGTAGCAGTATTGCGTCGTCGCATTGTAGACATAGAAAATCCTCAGGAAACGATCTTGTCGGCTTTTGTAAAAAAGCACGATCTGTCCAGAATCCTTCCTCACGTCCACGCGCAAATGTAATGTCCATTTTCATGCTCCAACTTGTCTATCTCACAAGTTAAGCTTCCCAAATCAATAGTGCGAAGCCTGAGGTTTTCTGTGCCCCAGCTGGTAAGCTACTAGCAGCCTACACCCTGATGTTTCACGCATCTGAACACTTGGCCTCAGGGTCCAAGGCACTGCCCGTTGTAGGAATCCACATCTACCACAGCGCTGACATCCTGCTCTTTTTGCTTTTTGAGCTCGAGCTGAGCACGCTTGTTGCAAACCCTTTCCATTTGCCCAGCTTGAAACGGTGAGCTTTTGAAAGGTAGATCTAGAGCAACAAGATATGGCAAAGACCTATTGTCTCATTTTGTACTTTCTTCTTTCTTTGGAGGCCATCGCTAGTAGGACAGCCTGGCCTTTGCTTAGTAGGTTGGAGGCGTCTTTCTTTCTGTCTTCTTTCGACTTCTCCCATCCTTCTGTGTGCTGGAAGACGTGAAAACGTCTGCGTGTGTCGCAACACCTGGACCACTTTGACCTGCGAGCCAAAGCCCTTGCCTCGGTGACGGGGAGGAACACCGCCTGGCGGCACCTTCTGGGCCTCCTTCGAACTAAAACCAAAAGGAGAAACCAATCGAACGCTAGGACACATGTTTTTGCCCAGATGGTGGGGGGTAGTTGTGAGCTAGTTAGTATATAGCTCTATTAGGTACGAAAGACGCTCCTAGTAATTGGACGCAGGATAGCGCTCGTGCTATTCATTTGGTTCCTAGATGATTGCTGCACCGTCGGTGCATGGTGGTCACATGCGTGTGTCATGGGTGCTTTACTGGAGCAGTTTTTTGGGGTTGTGGATAATTCAGTTCATCTCACGGAGTGGCCAGTGGTGTTCTTACCATGTTTTCTGTAAAATATGAAGTCTAATAGATGAAGCTAAGGAAGGTAAAACAGTCCAAAGAGGATAGAAGTCTAATAGAACCGTTGTTGTACATGAAACTAAACAACACCTTCATATGTGTAGTAACACGGGATAGTTTTTCGGTGAGGACCCAAAATCAAAGCCTTCATCAATTTGCCTTCTTCATGTCTATTTTCTACTTCCCTGACAAAAGCAACTAGGTTGGAGGCCATCGCTAGTAGGTTGGAGGCCATCACTACTAGGTTGGAGGCCATCGCTAGTAGGTTGGAGGCCATCACTACTAGGTTGGAGGCCATCGCTATTAGGTTGGAGGCCATCGCTACTAGGTTGGAGGCCATCGCTATGAGGTTGGAGGCCATCGCTATTGGGTTGGAGGCCATCACCCACTTCCCTGACAAAGCAACTACTTCTTCTCTGGACTTTTGCCTTCCAAGCTACACGATCTGCGTATTTTCCAAGCTCACGCGCCACCAGGGCTTGGCGTCAGGCGTGGGACTGCCTTCGCCTCCCGTCTCCATGCAACTGTGCCTCAGAAACATTATTTTTTTCAATCTGAGTGCAACTGCCCTATAGTAGCGATGCCCTTGCTCCTAGTAGCGATGCCAGGAGCCCCTAGTAGCGTCCTTGCTCCTAGTAGTAAGGCCAGGAGCCCTTGCTCTCAAGAGACAGTTCTTTCAATTTTGGAAGGTTTACCAGCTTTTTGCTGGAGCAACACATGAAGGCAAGGAACTTAACAACTCGAGTCCGACATGGAACACATGAGACTGAAGGGACATTGCTCTGGAAAATTGAAAGAAAAGACTCCTTTACAAAATCTTCAGAATCACGACGTTCTTTGAGTTTTTTCTTCTTTCTTTCTTTCTTCTGGATGGAGAAAAACAATCTTGTTTGTTTCTTTCCCTATGAAGCGGAAGAAGAAACGCATCATATGTTTTTTTTTTTTTTTTTTTTAACTGATTTTTTTAGTTTATTTTTATTTTTTAAAGCTTCTTGTTACTACTAGTAAGGCACTTGTTACTAGTAGCGATGCACTTGTTCCTAGTAGCTTAATTGTCTTTCTTGCCTTCTTTTTGTGATCAGATCTGCCCACAGTTCTGCGTTTTAGCCCAAGGTTCGGATTGTCATCCGCCAAATACCTTGGATCGGCAGTGACAAGCGGGTCAAGCATGCTATGGATAGTCGATCTTCAACTTGTGCGCATTGTCCCCAAAACCTTTTCAGTCCTTTTCCCGACGTTTGCTATTAGAAACAACTGCATCGCTACTAGGAGCAAGTGCCTTACTACTAGTAACAAGTGCCTTACTACTAGTAACAAGAAGCTACTAGGGGCTCCTGGCCTTACTACTAGGAGCAAGGACGCTACTAGGAGCATTGACTTGTGCTGGGGCACCACATGCGGTCGACCGAAGCTCCACCACCATGCACCGTGGACTGCCACACGCGGAGGTTCTGCACCGCACTCTGAGGCTTCCGATGGCACTTGGAAAATGGGACACCTCAAGTGAGAAAAGGAAGCAGAGAGCAGCATTGCATCCTTCTTTCAGTCGTTTCAACCTTTCTTTACAAAAGAAAAGCACACATACAGAGGGCAGCATTGTTTCAGTGAACTCCGATCAGTTGAGACTTCTTGGATTTTCAGAGTCCGAGACCAGTCCAGACATCTTAAGACCATCCTTTCCCTTCACATCTGATGCATCAGGGTGAGAAGAAAGAACGCTGACTCGCTGGAATCAATGCCACTTCCACCCTCCTACACGGTAGGATACGCCGATTGAAGCGTGTCAAAAACGGCCAGATTCACAAGGAAGTGGCCTTTGTGGAACTAGTAGCTTCTCGTTACTAGTCGCGATGGCCTCCACCTTAGTAGCTTCTTGCTACTAGTAGTAATGCCCTTGTTACTAGTAGCGATGCCAGTAGCTACTAGTAGCTTCTTGCTACTAGTAGCTTCTTGTTGGCCTTCCAAGTTGCGAAGGCCAGAAGCAATTGTGTCATTCTGCTCGTTGTCAGCCAAGGTGAGCTGGTATTCGATATCCTGAACAGGCCAAGCCCACACATGCATATGAAGTAGGCACATCATGAACAAAAATAAAGGCAAAATAAAGCAAGAACGGAAAACATCAAGGAAATATGTCTTTTCTCCTTTAAAGTTGAATGTGTCACCAATGTCCCGATAGTTCGGCTTCCTCTTCGGTAGCGAGAATTCGAAATCGTGGGACCCTCACCCTCAAAAGCTAAATGGCTTCCTTTCTCTTTCTTTCTCATTCTTTCGACCTTTCTTTCGTCTCCAAAGCCGAACACCAAGCCACTCGTCCACAAAGCCGCACATGCGCTGAGATTGACAACTGGCTCCAGGGTTTCTCACCTCGACGGTAGACCTCGGGCCAGCGACCGCCCTACCCGGTTACTCCCTGCAACCAAAAGTGGAAGACATCCAGAAACATTCTTTTTGGAATGGTTTTTTAAAAGTGCAATGAGAGCAAAAACACTTTCTGAGGTAAGACAAGAATGCGCATTCTACTGGCATTCCAATTCCAAAGGGCTAGTACTTTGTCGAAGGCACAAGGTGAAACCATTCCCATGGAGTGCACAACTAACTATGCACAGTGCGCTCGACGCGAAAGCAATGCCAGAGATGGCATCGATGCAACGATTCCACTTGATCTCTTCTACCACCGTCCCCGCTTGGGCAAAGCCACCATGATATCATAGTCTCCAGCAAGTGCTATGACGAAGAGGCTGCTCCGTACCGGTGTAGTGCAGCCATCTCCTTGCAAATTGCTCAGCCGAAGGAAGCCGAAGGAAGCCGAAGAATGCTAGTAAGAATGCTCCGTTCGTAGCGATGCCAGGAGTCCCTAGTAGCGATGCCCTTGCTCCTAGTAGCTTCTTGTTTTCGACTTGTCTCTTCTTTGCTTGTTCGCCTTTCAAAACACGTGTCTTCAGGAATAAACGCACGCGCTGCATGGCTCTGGCCTGGATTGCACGGTACCGCATAGAGGCCGAAGTCACTGACACGATAAAAGTCGCCTTCGGTGAGGTTGAAATCCAGGTACTCTGAGCCTCGAGGCATGTGTAACAAGGTTCGCTACTAGGAACAAGGTGCATCGCTACTAGGGGTTCCTGGCCTTACTGCTAGGAACAAGAAGCAATCACACTTAATTAAATAGAATTTAATTCTATAATTGAAACAAGGTTCGCTACTAGTAACAAGGTGCATCGCTACCAGGAACAAGTGCATCGCTACTAGTAGCAAGAAGCTACTAGTAGCCCTTCCCTAGTAGCCTCGAGAAATGTCTTCGGCTTCCATCGCTTTGTCGCTTCGGTTTGCTCGGACTAGGCCTGGTCCAACGACCGACAAGTCGAGGTCATCCACATTGCCTGGCATTGAAAAACCCTGTTGTCGTGTCGATGTTGTCGTAAACAAACACTCCAAGCACATCGGAACATCTTCCAATGTATTCTTCAGTGTACACCTATGTCCCCCTTTAGAGAAAGGTGAAGAACAAAAAACACTACTAAGATAGTAACTGTTACTGAAACATGCCAAAAATTCCACGAACCTCCTTCTACTTCCAAGGTAGTGACTTCTTAAGCTTATATAGTAGTACCTTTTACTTATTTGCTTGAAGCCACCTCACGGCCTACCGCCGCAACACGTGCAGTCCAAACACCAGAACTCGGGTTCTTCCTCTCCCCTTCGAGGGTGGGAGAGGGCGTTTCGTCCTGCGTGTCACTTTTGAAGACTGGGATGCCTGGCTGACAAGGAAGACTGACAAGGACTCCTTACTACGAACGGAGCAAGGAAGGACGCTACGTTTGGGGCTCCTGGCATCGCTACGCCCGGAACAAGGACGCTACGTTAGGGGCTCCTGGCCTTACTGCTAGGAGTAATGTTCGCTACTAGGTATCTTTGACCTCGCCTTTCTTGTATGGCGCATCCAACCAGCCTTCCCAGCGGATGCCAACCACCAGGTCCCCCTCCAGCAGAAAGCCACGAGACCTCTAACAGTGCATCCAACCAACGGTTCAAAGTCGTAGAGATTTCAATGTCGGTGTGAGCAATGACTCATGAAGACTCATGAATTAGAAATGAGAAGCTACTAGGAACAAGTGCATCGCTACTAGTAACAAGTGCCTTACTAGTAGTAACAAGGACGCTACTAGGAGCATTCTTACTACTAGTGAGTCGACTCATGAAGACGAATCAAAGCAAGTGCGCACAAAAAGGTTCGCTCACTTGCGGTTTGATATGCCGTGCCAAAAAGCCTTACCGGCCTTACCGTTGGGTACCGGTTTCTGAAAGGCATTCCTGTTGGTGGCCATGTTCCCCAATTGTGAATGGACGCCACATTGTCTGGACACACCGACATCCAGGTCTGTCACCGATCGCCTTACTCGTGCAGCTGTCTCGGGCATATACTGCAGGTCTATTCCAACCCAGGCATCCTGAAGGCAGGTGACATGCCGCTACGAAGGGAGCAAAGGGCATCGCTACTAGGAGCAAGGATGCTACTAGGGGCTTCTGGCCTTACTGCTAGGAGCATTCTTGCTACTAGCATGTTGCTAATAGCGGCAGGTGAGGCTTGCTCTGACTCGCCAGTTTGCCTCTCTCAAGCAGACCTACCCGTTGGCCTTGTGCCTGGCACTGCAGTGAACGGACGTCCGGTCCTCCATGGGAACGGACCAGGCCGCCGTTTCGAAGGAGTCGATAAGGCCGTTGTCGTCCGTGTCGAGTCCAATCCTCGGACCGAAGACCGAAAAAGACGAAATTCAGAAGGCTTCTTACTAGCTTCTTGTTACTAGAAATGCCCTTGTTACATATATCGCAATATATATATATGTAACATATATATATATATATACATACATATTCTGTTTAAAGCCGTAGAGGGCGGAGTAAGTAGAGGTAGTAGCTATGGAGGTAGGTACTAGCGATGGCCTCCAACCTACTCACCGTTTTGGAAATACATCAGCATCCCACACGGCCAGCTGTACATGCCGTCCAAGGCAAGCGATTGACAAAGTGCACAAGCGCTGCACATCCTGCAGTTCAAGGCTCAACCTAAGAAACCATAAGTAGCGGTGAACAAAGAAGCTTTCAAATTTACTGGGCATGGCTTTCAGAAAGAAGCCATGCATTAGTGCAGCTGCTCATGGTACAAGCTCTGCCCAAACTCGTGGCCCAGCTCCAGGCAAATCTCCTCTTCCGAGTAACGCTTCAGCGTCACGATGCGCCAAACCTCTTTGGCTTCCAATCTTTTGGCTTCATCGCTGCGCAAGAGCTTCTTTTCCTCCTCGAATGTCATCCTGACACAAGATGTTTTTCATCCTTTCATGGCTTCATATTGCTCCATGGCTCATCTAGGTTCTCTTCAGACATGGAAGAACTTCTGCGGCTTCGACAGATCTTCTTGAAAGGACAAGAAAAACAGCAAAACATCTGCTCATCCATCTGAGATATCTGCTTCCCTTAAACAAATCACGTACCTCCAAAAAGACGTTTCTTAAATACTAAAAACCATATGTGTATATATATATATATGTATGTATGTATAACTATAATTCTTCATATTAAACTCATACGATTTCCCAGCTTTGAGTTCCTCGCCTCCTGCAAAGCTCACCAATCTCCAGCGACGTCCTCAGCTCGGACACTTGTCCTGAGACCAGCAAGCGAGTCTTCGGTGGGATCACCGGCAACTCGGGCGTCACTTCACAGCGGCCACCGGCAAAGGGGGAAGAGGCGGAAGCCCCGCCTTCTCCACTCGGTGGAGGCAAATGATGAAAGGGCCATTCGACCCACCAATATTCCTCTCCTCGGCCAGGCCGTGGCGTCGCCAAGTCACAGGCTTTTCGTAAGAGCTTCTCCCCACAAATCAGGGCCATGCGACGCAGCTCTTGACGAGAGACATGGGCCAAGGCAGCGACCACTTCTCCATCCCGTTGGAAGCCCATCATCTCAAGCAAAGGATCTTCGCTATGTCCGATCACCGTGAGTTCATCGTCTTCGCACAAGCTCTCCAGCAAGTTCACATTCGTTCCGAGCTCTTCACCCGAAGGTCGAATCAAGGTGCAAGATCGAAGCTCCAGAATCATGGCCACCTCTTTCAGCAAGCTTGCAGATGTCTCGAACTCTGACAACTGGAAATCCAAGACCTTCTCTCCGGAAAGGGAGATCACACGCACCATCTCCAAAAAGAACCCGAGGCTTGAGGCTGGAGATGGCTGAAGGATATTACAACCTCAAGTTCGCTCATCCATGACTTTTCTCCGACAAAGTAACTCAAAGGGATACACACACACACCTTACATTTGCACAATGGCCAGCATACCAGTACTGCGTTATGGAAAGTGCACTGAAGCAATTTCAGCAAGTGTCACCCTCATAAGTCCGTCAAAGGCCCTCGACATTCAAAGAGCTTTGGATCTTTATTGGAAGACTCCCCAAAGAGCTTTGGCAGAGTGGTTGGGGAGGGCTATTAGAAACAAGTGCCACGCTAGTAGTAACAAGTGCCTTGTAGTAACAAGAGTGGTGATGAAAAACTCTGCCGCCCCTATTGGGACGGGAAGGTAGAAGAACTACTTCCCGATGGGTAGCATTCTTGACAGGAGTGCTTTGTAAGGCACTCCTGAAGCATGTTCAGTTAGCTTATTGTTTCTAATTGCTTCTTGTTACTACTAGTAAGGCACTTGTTACTACTAGCGTGGCACTTGTTACTAGAGGAGTATATGCAAGCGACTCGGGGCCCCAACCCATTTCACCAAGATTCGTATCTTGCGGCAGCAACGGATCCGAACTGAACATATGCCTCGGAGGAACACATTTTGGGCACCCCAAAAAGGGTATCCTTTCCTTTTCTTCTTCCATTCTTGTGCTTTTTTCCCTTCGGTGATGTGTGTTTCTTTCGTTTCTTTCTTCGTTTTGAACCCGCTTCCCTCTCCTGCGGAAGGTCTGACCGAGCCAGCTCTGCAAATCAAGGCTTCGAAGCAGGACGCGATCAGCACAGCTCGGGTCCAAGGTGGTGTACCTCGCTCACGACAAACAAACAAAGAAGGCGACTTCAAACCCGAACGAAAAGAAAGGTTACAACATCCAACTCTTGTCCGCTCTCAATCTCTGGACTCCTGACTCCTTTCTTTTCTTACTTCCTTTTTGTACAGATTCTTCCTTGCTTTCTCTTCTTTCTCTTTGTCCATGACTCCAAATCTTAAAAGCATGTGAATTCATCGAGACCTACATGCTTCGTATTCACAAACAACTGGCACTTGCGGAATAACTTCACAGGGCACGTGGTGATGAAGCGTATGCGCCAGAAGCGATGCTCGAAATAAGCGTCGTGCTCTTGCGGCGCCCTGCCGTCCTGACTCCGGTGATGTGAAGATTTTGCAAAAAGCGACTGTGACGCTAGGCGACCAAGTACTAGCGATGGTCTCCAACCATGCCAAGCGCGGTTTTTTGAGATGAAGACACCATGCCATGTCTCATTTTCTGACTAAGTCGACACGGAAGACTACGACGAGACCCTCCCAAGGGCAAGCTGTCCCACCCTCTCGACTCCTGCGTTGCCATGCAGCGTGCCAAAGCAGGGTAAGCGTCGCCCGGATCTTCAAGGCCTCCAAGAATCAAGAGGAAGAAAGAACAAGGAAGGATGGACTGAAAAAGATCTGGTTAAGGGGGTAAGGTTGTCAATTAGAAGTAGCTAAGCTCTGAGTTTAGTCAGTAGATTCGCTAAAGGAAGTAGTAGCCAGTAGCTAGCTGCTGAGCTACTAAAAAGCAGAAAACTCAAATCAAATTAGGAAAAGTAGCAAATAAGAGCTTAGACGCATTCCAAGAGCTTAGAAAGAGAAGTAGTAAAGCCAATTGCTTCTTATTTGTTTTAGTTGATTGTCTAAGCTTCTTCTAAACGAACATTCTTCTGGAAGGAGCTACTTCTGGAAGTTACTTCTGAACGCACTCTCGGCTACCGCACGGAGCGGAAGATTCGAAAACAGATGCAAAACGAAGTCACCAAAAGAAACCGTGTTCGAACACGTTTGCAAAGGAAAACAAGAGTAAGCAGAAAAACACCGTTCCAGAACATCAGAAGAATCTGATGATGTCTGAAGTACAGAAAACCAAACACTTGAGACATTTTACTCCGACAGCTGACAATGACTGTTGGATTCATCTCTACTTGTCTCCAAAAACAATTGATCAAACAAAATGCTTCAGAAGACTTGAATAAAACACGCTCCGACGGCTAAGCTCCGAACCGACTTCCACGGTGATGGAGAGGTCTGTGGGGTAGATGTGGTTGATTTGCAGCTTTGGTGCTGTTGTATCCTCGACACGCCAGGAGTCTAGAGACTAGACATCCAACGATATTTCGAGCGCTTTCTTTCAAAGGTGTTTAGAACCCAAGGCCTCTTTGTGCTGAAGGTGTTCTGACTAGAAGCTTTTCCTTTCTGCCCTTAAGCTACGAACGGGGCTCCTGGCCTCGCTACTAGGAGCGATCGGACGCTACGAACGGGAACAAGAAGCTATTAGGAACAAGTGCATCGCTTCTAGTAACAGGTGCCTTACTATTAGAAACAAGAAGCTATTAGTAACAAGTGCCACGCTACTAGTAACAAGTGCCTTACTAGTAGTAACAAG